GACAATTATTACTGTGACCAAAACTGATCTGATTTACCAATTCATTATCAGTTCAGTTTTTAATGTTTTCACAACATTTTTTATTGTCTATTACCAATCTATTGTTACTAAAAAAAATAATCACCAAAAATTTATCATACCTATTGTTATTAAAATAAATCTCAGAAAATTTTTTTATTAACCTTATTAAATGTAATCTATTGTTATAAAAATCTTTCATTTATATTACTTACTAGTAATATTAGTGTTACTGTGAACTATAAAAAAATCTTACTAAAAAACAATTATTAACAAGTTAATTGTCTACTATCAACATATTGTTATTAAAAAAAAATCCCAGAAAATTTTTTTATACCAAACTATTACTAAAAAGAAATCTCATTAAATTTTTTATAAATCTCACTAAACACAATCTATTGTTATAAAAAAATCTTTTATTAATTTATTAGCAGTATTAGTATAAAACTCACTCACTATATCCAAAAGTACACTAGTTATAAACATAAATATAAACATTTATTTGCAGATCATTTGCACCTGATTATTTTTAATTGACGTTTATCTAAAAAAAGGAATGATCAATATAATTAATTATGCACAAAGACAATAATTTTCTTGGCATCAATTGTTAAGTTACAAATAATTGTTTTGTAACTGAAGTTAATTGTGTGCGTGGATTACTTTGCATATTTGTATTATATTATAATTAAGAAAACTTTACATTAGTAAAATGATTGATTTGATAACTTGAAACGCTTTCCGAACTATGTAGTAAATTACGTGCAAATATGCATTACTAACGCCAAATGTTATGTATGACTAACATATGATAAAATAATTGAAACACTAAAAAATTTTGGTTTTTTTATTAAAGATCTAAAACTTTTAATCTTTGTATCCTCGTTTTGTTTTTATATCTACAGTCAAGAGATTAATGTTGCATGAATCAAAAATAAAGAATCGTTTAGCTGTCTAAATATCTACTAAATAAGTTTCAATGAAAATTTTGAATCTTAGGATATTGATACTTTGTACCATTAAATGTAAAAGTAAAATACGAGATATTTTATTCATATATATGAATGATTTGTGATTCTGTATCTTTTGTGGCATTACCAAATTTGGTTTTATTGGTTTACTAGAATAATAATTCATTTAGAAATCTAACAAAATTTGATGCCTGTATAATTTTCATATTGTCCTCAATAATACTGTAATAAGCTTAAATCTACATGCTGAGTCATCTTATTGGTGATTTTTCACGAGCATTAAATTATAGTTATGGTAAAAATATCGGTCACCCCTATGGGGTGACTGATATGTTTCAATAACTGTATTATTATGCATGTCACCCAAGATCATGCCCAATTTTAATAGTTTTTATATAAAAAGTCGAGTTTTTTTAAATAATTAACATGTTATTTATATACATAACCAATATTTTTTATCCCACCCTATCAAGATCGGCATGACCTTAAATCTGTATAATAAATTTAAATTATTAGACATTGCGTAGAAACTACCGTGTAGATCTTTCCTTTTTGGATAATTCCAGGCAGAATTATTTCATTTGTCATTTATGCTGAAATGTCCCAAATCAAGCGATACGTCCAGTCATTTATTTGATGTCATTTGGGTCACTGACCATCACTGTACTATATTTTATTATTGTCATTTTTTATCAATTCTGCATAATATTGGCGTCGTGGCGATTAAAATAAATCTTTATTTGAAATATAGGATTATAATATAATAAGAAAGAAATAACAAAAGAATTTAAAGTAAGAAAAGGTATAAAAATATGTTTAAATCATTATTATCAAATACAAGACGAAATAACGATGTTGTTAAAGTTATAACTACTTTCAATTAAATGTATTCATTTCGAACGAGACAATAAAAATCTTCAAGAAACAACACACTTTTTATGATATTCTATATTGATCCCAGTTATTAGAAGTTGGAACAGATAAATTCTCGAGTATTGTATTATAATTAGGAGCGTTAGAAGGTTCTGGAAGATTTGTATAATTCAAAAGTCGACTGGTGTAAACCGCACCTGGATGTATTTTATAATCAAGTTGAGAAAATATTTCATTTGATGATTGATTTTTCGTAAATTCTTTAGCTTTTTCAATTTGAATTCTTATTTCAGATTCAATTTTATCCTCAACTAAATCATTATGCCATTGTTTTAATAATTTTCTTAAGTCATCATATAATGGTCTATAGCTTGGTCGAGCATCCCAGCATTGCATAATCATCCTTGTAATAAGTCTAGGAGTATGAAACGGGATTTTTGGTCGTAAACCATTACAAATTTGTAACGCAAGATCGTAATTATGTGAAATATCGTGATAAGCTAAATTCCCAGTAAATACTTCGTATGCAATGATTCCGAATGAATATACATCCGCAGTAGCTGTATATTCTTCTCCAATAAGAACTTCAGGTGCGATGTATGGTAATACTCCACAAATATTTCCATTGGGATTAATTATTTGATTTCGTTCAATCAATTTAGAGAGACCAAAATCGGATAAGTGAAAATGATCATAAGTCAATAAAATATTTCCCGGATGAAGATCATGATGAACCAAATTAACATGATGCAAGTCTGCCAAAGCTACAGAAATTCTCCATAAATCTTCCACTTTTTGTTCCCATGTAATATTATAAAAATTATCACGTAAAAAATTTCGTAGGTTTCCCTTTTCCGCGTAAGACATAACAATCCAGTAATCTTGAGTATTAGGATTCTGTGTTATACCATATATTGGAATAGTATGATTGATTTCGCTATTCATTTTTAAATGATATTTAACCTAAAATATAATGCGAAATAATAAATATTGACTTAGTAAAAATTTAAAGAACAATATTAATGACAATTATTAGAAATACCCACCTCGTTTAGAAATTGAGTCATTGAGCTATCTAAAGTTTTGAGCGCAACGTGCTTATCGGACCTCCTTTCCCATCGTTTTTCTTGTACATTCCAATACCGAATAGGTCCATCTGGCCACTTGGCTGAATATACGATTCCGAATCCTCCTTTAGCAATTTCTTTTACATCTTCCAATCGATTATAAGGTACCCATTGTAAAACTTCTCGGGAACGACCAGCATTTAATTGAACTTCACGTAAAAATTTGTCAATCTCTTCATTTCCACTTGTCCAATTGCAAAACTCATCCTTAAAATGAAGTGAACTACAAGGTTGACACCATTTACCATATATGTTTACGAATGTGAACTTATTATGACATTCTGGACACTTATCATCATCTGATGCGTCGTTATCCTTTAATTTATTACTTGGCAATTGAGAAGAGGAAGAAGGTTTATCCGAGTTAGAATCCATGATATTATTCAATTATTAGTTATAAGAGGTTAAAATTCAGAATCTATGAAAAGTAGTCAATGACTTGAAGAGTGTTTTAGTAATGTAGGTTAGTGTAAGAATATATATATTAATTTAGAGCATCTAAATGTACGTATTTTTATGCATTATTATAGTTCTATTTCCAAAGAATATTTATACAAATTTGGAACTTCCGAATGTACTTACTTTAATTGGAATCCTTTATACAAATTTGGAATTCTTGAAAGCATATTTAATATACGTTACACTAACATCATATGTACAATACCGTACTTTTAAAATATACTGTTTTAGATAAATTATTTATCCTATATGAAGTGCCGTCTGAAGTAATTTTAAGGTCGATCATAAAAACAATTCTGGTCAAGTGTTTATTTCCAGGCTATACTAATTTTCGCCCCTGCTTCCGTGGATTCTGGAGTCCGATTGATCAACATCTGGAATTTTTTGATTTGTAATCATTTATAATCATTTGTAATCATCCGAACCCATGTCTTCTGCCGTTATTATATGGAATCCGGTCTAATTCCACATCGGCTGGAGCGAAAATTAGTATAGCCTTATTTCCAATGATGCTTTATTTAAATCCGGAAGTCATATTTATCATCACCAGACTTCAATGTGTTACACGTATGTCTTACAAACACAAAATATTTGTTCGGCATAATGCGCATATAAATAAATTTGAAATTGGTCTGAATAGATTTCAATCATTAAATTAATAATGTCTTCAACAAATGATGAAAAGAAGAAAATCAAAGAAAATGACATTAATCTTAAAAGGGAAGCTCTGAAAACATCTATAGACTGTATGATGGTTATAGGAAATGCCATGGATAACTACTTTCCCTTACTAAAAACGGTGACCATTATGATTTCGGAAATTTATACAATTTATGATAATGCAAGATACAATTTGAATATCTGCGAGTCTCTCATGGATAGAGTTGACATCGCAGAATCCGTCATCAAAACCTTAAAGAGACGAAAAAAAAATAATGAAGAAAATTTTCGAAAACTTGAATACTATAAATCTTTTTTACGTTTTGTTGATGTATTAAAAAGTATTAAAGCATTTATAGGCGAAGTATCTACCATTCAAGGTTATAAAAGATTCTTCAGTGCAAACATGATCAGAAAAAAATTTGACAGCCTTATAAGTGAGTTTGAAGTTGCAATACGCGAATTGAATTTTACGATGACCGTGGCTAATGAAGAACAGAGAATAATTGACCAGAAAGCTCTTGAACGTGATATCGCAGAAATGACAAGGGTAATTATTGAATTTTTTTCTCTATATAAACGTTGTTATTATAATTTATTCTTACTATTTATTCTTTTAAATACTAGTTTTTGGAAAAAATTGACGGTAATATTATTGATAGTACTAATACACTTAACACCGTTATCCAAGAAGTCATGATTATCAAGAAACAAATAGAAACTTCTAAGGTGGAGAAATTCAAGGTAACAAATATAACACCAAATGAGTTGCTCGATCCTTTATATTGTCAATCACGTGGTAGAAAGGAGCCATACATTTGCAAGAAAGTATATAAAGGTCAAGATGTTGCATGTAAGCCGGCAAACATTTTTGAAGATAGTAATATGGATGTTCAAAAAATACAAGCCCAACTAGTTATCTTGAGTAAATTAAAGGACTCCACAAATATTCTCAAATTTTATGGTATTTCCAAGGTTGACGGGAATCAAGTGATGATGTTTGAATGGGCAGAGTTTGGCACTCTTAGGGAATTATATGTGGAAAAAGATATTTCATGGCATGACAAAGTCCTAATTGCTCTTGATATTTGTCGAGGACTTACATTCTTGCATTCTTGCGATATTTTTCATCATGATATTAGATGCAATAACATCATGGTAATCTTATCTTGACTAACCACTAATATCTTTTGTAATGAAACGAAAATTGAAATTAATCTAACAAATTAATTTAATTTAATTAGATGACTACGAGACTTGAGCCTAAGATTGCTAATTTCAAATATTCACGGCTTTTTGATGACAGAACAGTTGATATTGAGAACATTAAGGAAATCTTTCCTTGGCTGGCCCCAGAAAAGATGATGTTTTCAGAACATCCCGTTAGATATACGAGTAAATGTGAAATTTTCAGGTAAAAATTATAATTATTAACCTATGATAAATAAAAATGATTTTCTCGCGGAATTTTTCATTATAAATTAATAAATAAATTTTACTGATGAAAATAATTTTTAGCTTTGGAATGTTATTATGGGAACTTTCGTTTAGAAAAATTCCTTATGAAAACATGCGTGTGGGACAAATTCGAGAACATGTTTTGAAAGGCAAACGAGAAAAGATGAACTGGATTCCTGGAACGCCTGAAATTAAAAAAATACACAAAGGGTTTGAAAAAATAATTACCATGGGTAAGTTACACTTATAAATTAACCAATTATAGTTTGATTTATTATTAAATACTGTAAACTTGCAACTTCATATACATCTAATATTCCTAATTTAAGCTTGGCAAGATGCAAATTGTCGAACCTCTCTTCAAACTATATTTTTGAAGCTTTACAAGTTGGCATCACAAAATGATAAAAGTAATGATTCCAAAAATCCGCTTCCTATTGAACCTATAAGTATGAGTGAATTACGAGAAAATCGGGAAGACCACAAGATATATCGTTTACCCTATGCACTGATAAATCCGCTTGAATTTGGATTTGAAGCCCATAAACGAGAAGATAGAAAGACTGCTTGGGAAACATTCTGTGCTCATGCTGATTTAGGCAATATTACTGCCAAATATTGGAAAGGACGTTACTTATCCAAAGGGTACTTTGTAAAGGCGGACCTAAAACAAGCATGCGAGCTATTCAATGTAGCCGCTGATGATGGAATAGCTAATGCTCAGTTGGATTATGCCTTCTCACTTTTAAGCCCTGTTTCTGGAATTGCGTTTGATCTTGATATATTCATCAAATACTTAACCAAATCCGCAGACGGAGGAAACGTTGCCGCACAATTTAATTTGGGTGATATGTATCTCCATGGAAAACTTAAGTGCAATTTAAATAAGGAATTGGGAATAAAATATTTGAAGCTGGCCGCTCTCAATGGTTATCCAGATGCAATTAAGATTCTTGAGAATTTAGAAATTGATGTATTTAATAATCAATTTAGATGATCATTTAACTTTATTCGCGTATTTTTTTTTTTTTGTCATAAATAAATATTTCACCAAATATTTAGAAATAAATTCAAAATTTTTATTTTTTTTATATATATATATTCTTATTTCGTTTTCTAATATTTTATTTATTTATTTTTGATTAAAAAGATAAATAAATATTCTGGCATAAATGGCATAAATACTGACCAAACTAAAACAAATACGACTTCAGAATTGCGCCAAATTAATGTATATCATTCCTTTTTTTGGATAATGCCAGGCGCTATTACGTAATTCTTGCCGCGTAGAACAAATAGTCCATATCGCTCTGTTTATACTTGCCGCCCATTTAAAATCCCCTCCCATCCCCTCCAATCCCCTCCCCTCCCCTCCCATATCCCATCCCATCCCAAATCCCAATCCCAAATCCCATCCCATCCCAAATCCCAAATCCCATCCCAAATCCCAAATACTTGTATAACATTTCTCCCATTGGCCAATTATCACGTGACGTTACACAAACTTCCAAAAAAGGAAATTTTGCCTCCCGCAAAAAATGGGCGGATTTGGTTTCACAAGTATTCCAAAAAAGGAAATTTCTATGCCGATCATATAATTCCGGCCGTAATATTTTAGTTTTCGAAGTCTAATGTTAATTCAGGTCAGAATTTAGTTTAAATCCTTATCCTACATACCCCAATTTTTAAGAGATTTACCGATCAGATTTTAATGAAATTTATATCATTGGATTTGTCTCGATGCAAGGAATTTAATGGCAGTGAAATTATATT